ACAGCTTTTCATGCTGGGAATCAGTACACCTAGGACGGCTTTCGTGTTGGGAGTTAGTGCACCTAGGATGGCTTTCACATTAGGAGTCAGTACACCTAGGACAGTTTTCGTGCTGGGAGGCTTTTATGGCTTTACTTTGACAATCTGATGGTACAGTTGGATCCAAAAAAATATATTACTGCAGGATCATCTTTGGAAATCTTGTTTATCCCTATTGCAAACTTATATGGACATGTAGAAATGACACATAAAATATCTGCTGCCCCTTCTGACCGATGTTAATCTTGTGCCTCTGCCTGCAATCTAAATTATTTCTCATATGACCCACTGATACCCCATTTGAGACTTTTATTTTTGGATGTTTATATATCCTGTAGCAGCTCAAGGATAAATTCAGATAACAAAGTTCATTACATTAATCTGCTGGAGATTAAATGTCTAGTGATATTCAATAAAAATACTTTAGACAAATACTTCACCTACTTCACACTTTTATGGGTATTTGTTACTTTATTAAATTGCCTCTTTATTTTGATGTCAAGCACAGTTAATTGTAGCAGTACAGATGTGCCCATAAATGGGCAGTGTGAGATTCTGACAGAGTGTCATTTCTCTGCAGGTGATGTCACATGGCTCTCCCTCATCTACGGCATTCCCGCCATCTTATGTGGGACAGGCGTCAGTCCTGTAGGGCTCATCTCCTTGCCGGTACTACTGAATGCAAGTTCTCATTTTAAATAAAAACATAATTGTAAAGCACCGGCGATAAATGTTGCTAGTTGCTAAAGAGGTTTCTCCTTCATGAAGTGTTCATAATGCTTTACAAATGGGCAAAAAAAAAAAAAAAACGTAGCTGGAAATCAGTAATTTGCCAATGCATCAGCCTTGCCTATTCATCTTCCTAGAATCTTTTCCATAAAGCCGCTAATTATAATTAGCATTCCGTTGGCATGGTCAGCCCCAATCCAAGCAGAACGGACCATCATATTTTTGTCCAGCTCTTTCACAATTATGCAGATAACAATTAAAAGTGTAACCATAGAAGAAGTGTGTAATGCTAGCTGCCTTGATAAGCGTGTGAATGATTTATATCAGTCCCCAGAAAGCCCAAGGTGTGCTATATTTCCACAGTGCAGACGGTCCTGCTGTGAATCAAGCTTATAGCCCTGTCGCCCTTAAAGGCTGATTTACAGCCGTGTGCTGCTAACACAGCTTTCTAATTTAGGTTATGTATGGCGCATTTGACAGACCGCACTTCAGAGCTACAGGCTAAGTCAACCAGTGTTTCCTTGCTGTGCCATCTGCTATTTCGGACTGGAGGAGAGCGCCACACGCCCCCTCAAAATGGAAGCCCTGTCTGTGCACGCGAACGCGGCAGCCAGCGTGGTGGAGTGGAGGCAGCGGGAAGACGGAGTGCCAAGCCCAGCTGACTCCCTCTCTGCGTGAAGACGATGCCATTTATCCAGCCTTGCCTGGCCTCGCTGTGCCTGCTGTCTCTCTGTGTTACTGAGATGATTCCTTCTGTCATGTCAAAGGCAGTATTTCCATATTCTTGTTGTCAAGGAAACCGGGGCTGCAAGAGAAAAGAAAATCCTTTGAAGCCTTCTTATCTGAAGCATGTAAATAAGAGAGGTTATCTCTCCTGCTGTATGACAAATAGCGTGACATGTTTGACTGTCCAAGGACCTGGTTCTCAATCCCCGTGAAGTCAGCGCCTCGCCATTCCTTTGAATAGCTGGGCACTGCACACGCTGTGAGCCTCGCAGACACTTCCACAAAACCTGGCCAATTCATTAGCCTGATTTCATCCTGATAAAAATGCCCAATTTGCCCCCACTTCAGCTTATATTTTAACAAAGAAGATAGAGGTTCGAGGGTTATACTCTCATCTTAACATGCTCCTGTTGTAAATCACCTTTTTCTGCTTCAGTCCAGGCTAATTGCCTTGTTATGTGTAAATCACAACCACCGATCATGACAGCAAGAAACTGAGCTGGGAATATGCTGGGGTATGTGAAAATTCATTCTGCCTGAAAAAAGAAACACTATTTGGCTACTGACAGATTATGAACACTATATTTTTATAAATAGACTTTAAAAAAAGAAATAAGACCTTAACCTTTTAATAACAAAATCACATTTATGAACATAGCTGCTCATATTAAGCTGAATAGCAATTTGCAGAATGTGTCAGATATTAAGGATCTCTGACAGGCAGCACTCGGTGTTACAGAGAGGGCAAAGAGTCACTGCCATGATGATATAATGTGTCAAGGAAAACAGACTCAAAAATCAGGACAGTGTATGTGAAACATGAACAAACTGCGCCAGCAAAGAGGACAGACACCTAACAGGACAGCCGGCAAATGCCACAGAAGGAGAAGCTTTAAAAATCACCGCTGAACTCCTCTGAAACTGAACGTCTACGCGACTGCAGGGTAGAAAGTTCGACTGCCATTTGGAAACCACCTACATGCAAGACCACTGCTCAGAGAGGCACAAAGCCTGCAGCCCCAAGCAAATGAAAAAAACAGCATGATTTGATGAGTAATCGTCCATCTGTTTTCTTGCATTCAGACAGGTTTATGCTTGGAAGAAGCTTGAAGGAAGCCCAAAAGCCACAGTGCCTGCTGGTGTAGAGAGGCACCTGGCAGGGTGATTCCTCTGTGTGGTCATCTAAAGGCCGAGGACCACAAAGCCGCGTGACGGGACCAGGGGCACAGGATGGTGGAAACGCTGTCCGATCCAAGATGATGCTGCTGCTAAACAGCTTCAGGAATTGTGCCATTAATACGAGGATCACCTTCCATCACCACCCCAATCACCAGATATAAACATCACTGAGCCATTATGGAAAGGTTCTGGAGCAAAGAATGAGCGGTATAGATTTCCATCTCTCTCATATATATTGTGGAATTTCTATCAGACGTAAACATAACGAACGAGCAAGTTGACTGAAGACAAATCAATATAATTGTGCTAAATGTTATAACAGAAAATAGTCTATCTATCTATCTATCTATCTATCTATCTATCTATCATGACATACATAGCCTACATACACATATATTATAAAATTGAGCCAGTCCTCCTTAAACTGATGTTATTGATTAATTGGTTTCCTCGTATGTGTGTGTGTGCGTGCAGATTCATTTTTAGCATGCTTTTGGGTTTACGTTTTTGTTTAATGTCTTAATAATGGGGTCCCAGTTGCGTAGATGGACATCGATCCCTATTGTTTTTGTGCTTGTAATTTTAAATGTCCATTACAACGCGTGTGCGAGTGAAAAAAAAAATCATTTGAAAATTCCGCGGCGGTGAAAAAGAAAGTTTCCTAAATCAAAGCCTTGGCCTTTAGTCTGGTGCAGTATAAATCGTGAGTACGACGTGCACGTGAGCTGAGCGGCTACATCAAATAACGCAGGAAGTCAAGTCTCTGTGAAGCAGTGCAGTGAAAAGCGTATGCGATCAATGTGCTGCCGCAGTTAAGGCCGTGAGACTCAAATGGCAGCATCCCCGGGGAACGCTATAGCCGGCGTGGCGTGTGTTCTTTAAGCCCACATTGCTATTGAATGACATTTTATATAAATAAATCTCCGAGTAGCAAAAAACTCGATCGTAGGATAAAAATTACCTCATCTGCTCGAATTAGCAGGTATACTCTCATTCTGGTTCCCTGCAAGCTTCGTTCACTTTTATTTTACGTTAAAGAAAAGTAGAATTTAACAACAGGACCGTGACATATTTACAGTACCAACTGCACACTTCACTTTGCACTGGCCCGTAAATGGCCAGTTTTCAGTTTTGGTACTATTGCAGCAAACACGCACTGTATAATCTGCAGTATAGTACACCAGTGCGTGCTGAAGACTGTACTGCACCATTTCAATCATAGCACTCTTACCAATAACTAACGTGCGGCAAAATCTTATTTAACGGTTTTTATAGACAACGTCAGATTCCGTTCGTTAATTTTTAAATACAATTCCATCTACAACAGAAGCCGGTGAGTGACCCTCTACAGTTCACAAATTCATATTAAAATACATTTTTTCTTTGTCGTACAAATATGTGACAGAACTCTAGACAGAGTCTTTTGTACATAAAGATAAGGTGTAAGGTTAAGACATACGACTTAGGCTTAGGAACCTTTCACTCAAAGTTATTCGACCCGTTACGTGCAAAAACGAAAGAATTGTGTCTCCTTATCTTCATTCGGAAGCATTGTTATTATTATGATGTTGATTAGGCATATTGCACAAAACAATCTTATTTTGCACTATGCTTCCGCACCAGAAAGCTGTCAGCGTTTACTGCCACTGTACTTAAAATGTACTTCTCAGCTCATTTACACTCCTCTTTGTCTTGCACTGTTCTCTGTCCACGTAGTTAGAATTGTCTTTTTTTCTCAGTATCTCCTGAGTACTGCGTCTACTTATATACAACGTGTAAAAGTTCAAATTATATGTATATTCTGTGGTCTGAACTCGTTTTTCTGTATACTGTATATGGAAAGATGACAATAAAGTTCACTTTGACTTTGATATTGTTTATTGATATAATTATTGCTATTTTTGGTAGACATTAAAAGTCACTCAATACAAAGAGGTAGGCTAGCCTAATTCTGCGCTGACAGAGGCTGTTTAAGTTACTTAAATTACTTTCATAGCAGGTCTTTCCGAAAACATCACGTATTTTATCTACAGGGGAACCAAAGTAGTCAAAGAATTTTTTTGTTTTTTGTTTTTTATATATCCCTTGTGCAACCAATAGGCTTTATTAGATACTCCGCATTCCTAAACGAAAACGAAATGAAGAAAAACAAATGTATACCACATTTACAACTTATAAGCAGACAAGAAATTAAACACACCCTCTGTACAACTGCTTAACGTTATTAAAATGAGCTGGGAATGAAGATCCTTAATCCTGTGGTGACTCCAGTTCCGGTTCTTTGTAGCGCCGCGCCTCCTCGCATGACGGTTCATTCCGGCTGGAATGCCCGCCTGCGCTTGAGAGCAGCTAGTTCTGCTTGTTGGTTACATTGTATCAATCTCCCAGCATTGAAAGATACAAACAGCCATCAAGATATATTAGAGATACGGCGAAACCGAGTCAGGGATTTAAATGGTGGAACCGGTTTGAAGAATGGAATTTATTATTCGGGATATCGAGGAGACGTGTTTTAATTCCGAAGGCTCTTGAAATTGAATTTGAAAATGCTCTTTATAACCGGTATTTTCAAATTTGAACGGGATCTCAACGTGTGATGGCTGCAGTCCCGTGAACTGGCCTCTCTTTTCCCCCTTGCTGTTGGATTTCTTGGGAGTACATTGATTGATCTCTGCGATCATTATCACTGTCGTTACTACTACTATTATTATTGTTGTTGTTCCTTCAAAGATCACATTCTTTAAGTCGTTTGATTCTTAATATCTGGATCTATGGAGTGCACTTAAATATTCCTGGGTCTGGGTCTGCAAGTGGGGTAAGTACTATAGGAATTTTTCTCCATTTTTTTGTGCGGGAGGTACCCCTAGCTAGCTAGATATTTAGCTACAATTGCATGCTTTGGCTTGCCGAAAAGCCCTTTGTTTGAGAGACTAGGGCGCAGCTTGGCATTAATAGCAGATCAGTACTCAGCATGTATTCTGCTCTTTAAGGCTTGAGTTTAACTATCGTGTAATAACCGACTGATCTCTTTAAACGCCATTCGCCTGCGGTGTGTTTGCAGTTATTTCACAAACGGCTAGGCTTACACTCTGCCATTTACACGGTCGCCTTGGAAGACGACGGAGATGTAGGAAGCCAACTAGCACAACACTGGTTGACAATTTCGTTATCTGATACGAGTTTTGGATATTATCTGTTACTGAGCGATTAGCTACGTTCTCTTTCGAAAGCTGTAGAGATTGTGTGTAATTGTTATGTACTTTTTCGCAGTCAGACAAATTTGTAATTTTTACCCTGAAACACGATCGGGTTACTTATTTTAACGAGATGACCGGTTTGTACAGAGATGGCTAGTCCTTACAGCGACACATTTACACAGTTAATTTAATATTTATTTCCCCGTGCACTGTAGTTGTCAGTTTGCCACCAGCAGCAGTGAAATGTTACTTTCTCTGGGGTTTGTGTTAGTTTAGCGAGGCCTTTTTGGTCACTCGGGTCCATCTACGGGCACCGGTTGTAAATGTTCAGTTTCTTTGTTAGACCAAAGTGGGAAAATCGCTGAGCGCTTTATCTTTCATAAGATGCACATGGGAAGAACGGCTTTGGAACCTGCTTCAAAACAGGCCAGCTGCATTTTAGGCCTCCGAAACAGCTCGTTGCACACAGTGACTGGCGGGCACAGGGAGCCCACTGGCACCCAGCAGTCACTGTGCCATCACCTGAGCTCTGAATAGGCGTCCATCTCCCCGAAATTGCATTTCAATTCGATTGCACGTTGCTTGACCTTAAACCAGACCCTGACTCAAAACGGGCAGTTAATCTAGCCGGTTTAGCACACAAAAGTCAGAAAGCCCCGCGACGGGTTGTTTAACCACAGCGCTTCTCTGGATTTGTTTAACCTGGCTCGTTATGAGAATGTCACTGGTCTGCGCCCAAATAAGGAAACCGAAAACGTGCTAGCTTTAACACAATGCCTTAAAAAGTACTATTTCTGAATAGTTTGAAGTGTTCCAAGACAGTATTTTGAATAGATGTAGGGTACCCTAACATTAGCGTTTGCACCTTTGAAAAGTTTTTTTTTCCTGTTACGCACTGTTTATGAAAGGATTTTTATCCAAGGCGGTACATTCATTTCAGAACTTGACGCTTTCCAGGAGAATATTTTGTGATGCTTTTTGATGACGCAAGTATATATAGGATGTGTAGAAAATGAGGTTGTTATGGTGGCCGTGACACGTGTACCCATGTTGGGTTTGAATTTCTCTTACTGAAACCAATGGACAGGCCTATAAGAATGATTAAACACCGTTATATAAATAAATGTAATTTTGGCAGTGCCAAGCCAAATATGGGAACTGGCACTTTGCGAATAATTCACATTTAGTAGTTCCTTGTTAGTAGTTTTGTGTAAAAGCTGTGACGGTTATTCACACATTAGTCTAGCCCCCCCCCCCCAATAATAGTTGGTTATATAAGGCATAAGCAAAGAAACCAAATCCATTTATATAGCTGCTCATATTCCCAGTGTTTGTATTAACTGGAAGCTTGAAATATGTTTATATATTTATTTTTGGTGACTTATATTAAAAATATAGCTTAATGTGCCTTGCTGGCACCCTTCTTCCTGAGTATTGTTGTATTTAATCAATTTGTTGTCATGTAATTCTGCGATGCCTGCCACCAGAGATGAACCTTAAGTGTAATAACTTATTTAGGTTACAGCTTGATTTCACTCCCCCATAAAACAGTGTTCATGATTGAAACAGAGCAGCTGCTGTGTATAAGGCTGAGGAATCAGCCCAGTCTCCCCAGTGAATGTGTCCATTTAGCTGCTATTGGCCCTCTCTGTTAGTAAGGTGGTGTTCATCGTGCCCTATAAATGCAGTGTGTGTGTTTCTAATTTCCAAAATATTGTTGTGAAGTCTAGCTATACATAGATGTCTTACCATTATAAGTAACATTTTGTCACAAAGCTGCCGGAATAGCAGCCTGCCTGGATTCTTGAGTAAGTCGGTCCATTGCTAGAGTGGAGGACAACACTGTATATAATTAACATTTATCAGCGTTGTTTAATTGTATTGGTAACTTCTGTCACGTTATAAACCCAATCTGTGAAACGGGCTACATGTTTAGGGGGAAATTTATTTTTGTGTTCCCGTAAGTCCTCTTTGTGTCCTTGTTTCTATCTAAATATTTGGTTAAGTATTTGATTTTAAATCTGCACTTTCTACTTTAATTGTTTTGGGTAACTTTTAGCTGTAAGATCCTTCCTCAGCAATGAGATTAAACAGCCCATAAACTGAAAGATGTCAGCAATGGCAGCAGTGATCCTGGTGATTTCTTCTGACATTTTGCTTGTTTTGTAATTACTGCAATCTCTTTGCTTTCCAGAAAACACATGTTATAAACTGAATCAGCCTACATGTAGGGTAACATTGTGGCAAATGCCCCTATACTACTGCATGTTGATATAAAGTGGAATGTCATGTACTTGCCCATATTGCTCTCCCCTGTATGTGCAGCTCATCTAGTGATGCACCTCTGACGGAGAGTTTTAAGAGGTTATAATGTGGCAGCAAAGTATGCCCATTTCTTTGAGGCATTTTCCAACCAGATGCCACACATTTTAATAATTAGAGGCTTTCAGTCCTGAGGTTTATTATTATTATTTTATAATAAAGGCGTACTTTACAGTCATATATTTCTCATTAGACATTAAGGTGTGGCTTGACTCGCAGCCTAGATTACTTTCTAAATTATCTCTGCAATGTGGTTAAAGGTCTTTTCAGTATGAGAGCACGCCAAATATGTAGCAGTGAATTTGAGATGGGGAAATTACATCTCAGCAGCAGGTGTCTTAATGGTGATGGTACTGTACTTGTGAATGTTTGATTTTATTTCCCAGCGGGGTTGTGTGAAAACTTCACCAATGTGTCTTATCTGTATGTTATATGCAATAGTAAAATATGAAATTGTTGCGTTTTTAGAGGAAATATTAGACCCCCATTATTTTCTAAGTACAGGCATAACAGTCTGGTTCTGTAGTAAATATGTAGTTCTTTTGTGTGGTTCTAGGATTGGTCACAAAATTGAATTTTCATTGTGCTTCTTTGCACGTCTAACTTGGAGATCCAGTCATGTTGCACCTCCATTCTGTCGCTCAGCTGAGTAACACATTTGCCCTGTAGAATAGCGTTTTAGTCTTAAAAATGTATGTTGAATCTTTATAGTGAGGTTATGAAACTGATGGGGAGGAAAGGATTGAAATTGCACTTCAGCACCACATTTGTATGCAGGCGAAAGGGGAGGATTTGTTAAGGTCGCTCTCCAACAAGTCAGGTGGCTGCTTACATGGACGTTTCACTGCAATTTGTGGGGTCTCACCCTTATTTTGGCAGGTAAATATATCCTCATCTACTGAGTATAGTGCCAGATCAGTTATACAGATAGCTGAGCTGTGAATCTGACAGCCTTTTAATGCTGCAGCTGTGTGATCCTTAAACAGGCTTTGACCATCACTGTAATTGGCTTCAAATCATTTTAAAAATCAAATCAATCTCTTGCCTTCAGTGTTCTAATTTCGTGTTAATGCGGCTCTCAGGTCACATATTATCAAAGATAATTATTAATTCTTTTCAGATTGATTACTCAGAGGCAAAGGGGTTCCATTCAGCGAAATTGGGTTTTTCACGTGTTTTCTTGTTTTTGTGACTAATGAACTGTTGAAACATTACAATTTGACAAATTAAATTATCGCACAGTTCTCACACAGTAATATAATCTAATAATTGTTAATGTAGCCAATATTAATGGTTTGTTTTTTCCCTGCTGAAGGATAAGTTAAAGCTGAGGTCAAATTTGCTGCTGTTTTGGAGTTCGGCTAACGGAACGAATGAAGTGTGAGAGGGAAGGGACATGCATTAGAGAAGAATGAGGGTTGGTGTCTTTGAACAGGCTTTGAACTGGCAACTTAAAGATAAGTCACTCTATCATCAAGCATGCGGTTTCCGGGCTGAAGGTGGGCCCCCGATGGAGGAAAGCGTGGGGGTGGGTGGGGGGGTGGGACAATAAAGCCAGGCATCAATTTATATTCAGAGGCGCTTTCCCAAAATCACCATCTCGCACATGGACTTCCATTGTGAGGAGGGTGAGGCCAGTTCTGTTAGGATGATGATGACCAAAGCGAGGGGAGGTTTGGCTGCCTTTGTTTCAGGTGCTGTGTTGGGGATCCGCCTGTCAGCTCTGAATTTACTGCTCTCAATAAAATGTTAGCTGCCCAAAAACAGCAGTGAATTACAGTTACTGCAGCCCAGCCCCTGAAAACCTTTCGATTAGGAAGCCCTTCAGTTTTTTTGATGAAAATTAGATGCTAAATCACTGACACTGAACAAGGCAAATGGATTCGGATATTGTTTCCAATCCCCCAATCTTGTGGCAAGACAAGCCTAAGTGGCGCCTATCATTTAGATTCATTAGTCACAGAAAATGCAACACGGAGTGAGACATGAAAGCTAAGGATTGGGTCTCCTTCTCTTGTCTCATTTTTGCTTTGGGATTTGTTTTGTGGTCCCTCTTCCAGTTCCTTTTTTAAATGCTCTTGAAATGTTATAACTTGAATGGACACAGAAACTGCAGTTGAAAATATTTTGTGTTGTGTCACTATGTAACAAGCCTGTATATCATTTGTTTATTTATACATAGAATTTTTCTGTAAATTACTGGTAATCTGTAGTCTGGTCAAAGCAGCAGTCGATTTAAGTAATGGCCGTAGTAAACACTTCTGCCTTTGTGTATGTTTTTTAAGCTCAGGAAGCA